AGCGAGCCGCAGATGGCGAGTCCAGCGCCCTAACCACCTGGCTATGCCGGGGCCTTAGATATTATGCAAAACGTTTCGATACAACCAAAAGCTTAGAAAGACAGAACAACAAATTACAAACACTTTATAAAAGAAAAACATTTCCATTTACAATTATCACCCAACACTAAATTTTAACATCAACTCGTTCCTTTTGTTACTAATATAATTATTTACAAGTTCCCAGATATTTGATTAATATTATTATAAAGATGCAGCGTTTATGCATTTATTTAAGCCTTTCTTTATGATGCTTTCTCTAAACAATATTGTTAAACGTATGTCTGCCGCTCGTTTTATCGTTCAATAAATTATGTTACCATTTCAATCAGTGTTCATTTTCGAGTTTTGGTTGTATCGCGTCTCGACTAATAATAGCTAATGCCGTCTTTAACACAAATATCAAAATATCAGTAGTTATTTGCTCATAACATTATAACATCGGAAACACTATTTTTTTTCGGAGCTGTGAAATGGTGGTTTAAAAGAAGGTCAGTTAATGTAAAAACATTATGACAAACATCAAGTTAAATAATTTGATATTTTTAGTCAAAGTGGCACCTTATGCAAGACTTGGCCTAAATGGTTAGGGCAGGAGTACAAGGTGCAGGCATAACTACCCCTAATTTAGATATTCTGACAAGAAGAAAGGCAAAGAGCCAGCAGCACCAGACTCCGATACGGCTACGTTTAGTCGGCAAAGAGCCAGCAGCACCAGACTCCGATACGGCTACGTTTAGTCGGCAAAGAGCCAGCAGCACCAGACTCCGATACGGCTACGTTTAGTCGAATAATGGGGTTGACAGTTACAGTTATGACTTCATAGAATCGCAGCCTAGGATATTAAGCAGTAAGATACAAAAGTTATAAGTGTTATAGCTTTGAGAAGTCAGTATTTGAGTTCAGGCCTTTGTAACAGAGAATAAGTGAATGGTCTTTTTGCTCTTTTTTATATTATTTTCTCAGAAGGAAGTTTTCTGTTCTGGCAATTACATGAGACTTCGGTCTAAACCTTAAGCTTTACTAATATCCAGTGTATATATAGAAGATTGCAATTGTTTTTCTCGGATGATCAAAACTGCAAGATGAAACTAAAAGACAACAATCAAGAGGAATAGTTTAAAGAGGATATCTTCAAACAAATATGTAATAAGGTTGACCTCTACTTTGGGTTGAACACCAACATCCCTCATGAGGCCCGTAGAGCAAATTTGCATAAGGGCCCATAACCATTGTTAGACTACTATGCAACAGGATAAGAGAATCGGAGAAACGTGATCCAATCAGTAATTATTAATAAAAACGTCTAAGTGAGAGTAAAAACAAACAAACAAAAAAAAACGTGTATAATAATAATAATATATCAACCACAGTGTATCTGTTATATCCAGTGCCGAAAAGGCCTTTCGTCTAATATTAGGGTTATTCAGGCCTGCTGGGATACGACGAACATGGTAACGGTTAAGATTATATTTATATTAGCAAATTGCTTGACAACAAATGTTGCTATACGAACTGGATTAATTATTAAGATAAGTAGTTACGTCCGTTCCTATCTGTCTAGTCTTTGATGTACCAATGAATATCTTAATATAACATAAAATCAAATACTCATTTCCTTTTAAACCTGCATACAATGAATTTTTAATAATACCACTTTGTTTTCTAGAGGTTATTTCATAGATTATCGAACGAAATTATTCTTAAAACTAAGGTACGTTGTCAATATAGAGTGAGACTTAAAATGTGTTAAAAAAATAATACCACTTTGCTTTCTAGAGGTTATTTCATAGGTTATCGAAGGAAATTATTCTTAAAACTAAAGTACGTTGTGAACATAGAGTGAAACTTAAAATGTTTGAAAAAAATAATACCACTTTGTTTTTTAGAGGTTATTTCATGGGTTATCGAACGAAATTATTCTTAAAACTAAAGTACGTTCTCAATATAGAGTGAAACTTAAAATGTGTGAAAAAATAATACCACTTTGTTTTTAGAGGTTATTTCATGGGTTATCGAACGAAATTATTCTTAAAACTAAAGTACGTTTTCAATATAGAGTGAAACTTAAAATGTGTGAAAAAATAATACCACTTTGTTTTTTAGAGGTTATTTCATGGGTTATCGAACGAAATTATTCTTAAAACTAAAGTACGTTGTGAATATAGAGTGAAACTTAAAATGTGTGAAAAAATAATACCACTTTGCTTTCTAGAGGTTATTTCATAGGTTATCGAACGAAATTATTCTTAAAACTAAAGTACGTTGTGAATATAGAGTGAAACTTAAAATGTTTGAAAAAAATACTCCTTTGTTTCTAGAAGTTATTTCATAGGTTATCGAACGAAATTATTCTTAAAACTAAAGTACGTTCTCAATATAGAGTGAAACTTAAAATGTGTGAAAAAATAATACCACTTTGCTTTCTAGAGGTTATTTCATAGGTTATCGAACGAAATTATTCTTAAAACTAAAGTACGTTGTGAACATAGAGCGAAACTTAAAATGTTTGAAAAAAAAATAATACCACTTTGTTTTTAGTGGTTATTTCATGGGTTATCGAACGAAATTATTCTTAAAACTAAAGTACGTTCTCAATATAGATATATATCTATCAATATAGAGAGAAACTTAAAATGTTTGAAAAAAGTGATATTTTAAGAGCTGTGGGTGTATTTGTAACTAAGAGTTTGTTTTTTAATGACCTTATCACACACATGCCTGTAACTGTCTATCAGATTAACAGTAGTGATATTTCGTTATTAATCGCTTCGACACAGGGACGAATAAAATAAGTAAAGCCCATTAAAGAATAGGTCGTAAGTGAAAAGCTTAACTGTATGACGTCATTACAAAGAAAAGAAGATTATATTTCAGGCTTGTAACGTCTTGCAGTGTTAATAAAGGTTAGTTAACATTCGGGTCCTTGTATAACTCTACAGACTGAAGACCCATTATATCTTGCATCATTTAACAACTGATTTTTTTTTCAATAAAGGATACTGTAGATTCTTTTCTATGACATTGTTTTATTCACACAGTAAAACGAAGGCGATTTTGAGAGTGATTAAGGATTCGAATTACAATGATATTTTGACGTAGATATATCAATCTACTTGTAAGTGCAATTGATTCTTTCTGTCTATTTCGTCATATTCAGCGTGATAAATCTATCTCTTTTTATTTTCTCTACAGCTTAATAAGGTGGTCATTTCTCTTGCGTACTGTAGGTCACGTGAGCAGGTTTTCCTGTACCACCGCACGTTCACACTGACGATTGGTAGAACCGTTATGACGTCAGACAAACTGCTCTGGGGTTGCTGTGAGCGCTGTCTGAGTAAATCGCCTGCTCAGTCGACAACGAGTTTTCTTACTGAGGAGAAGGAATTGTGTATGTGTAGTGTCTCTGCTGAATTTCTCTCTCAGTAGCGACTGTCGGTAGCACAACATCGGCTGTAAAGCTGCGGTGGTGGCAGTACTGTGAAACCTTTCTGTAATACTAATACTATTATAGCAGAGAACAAAGCCAAGCAAAACGTGAGTGTTTTTATTAATAAGAAATCCAGGTTACTTTCTAGTAATATCTTTAAAGTTTACAACGAGTCTTCCTCTTTTTAATGTGGTGCTAATGTTACTATTAGATTGGGACAACATTATAACATCTGGTTGCTCGCCATTGGGTTGAGTTGAAGATAACGATCATTTCCTGACAATACATTAGGTGCACGATTCAATGACAAATGGTTATCAGACTTTTTCTGCATTTTAAGTTGTTAACCCTTACAGAAATATAGCTCTTGATATTCCGGTTCTAAGATGCGTGGAGAAACGACAAAAAGTTAGAAAACGGGTGTATTTAACAAAAATGTGTGTACCTAGCGTGTTCCAAGGGGTATGAAGGAACGATGCTTACTGGGTGTATTAAAATGACATCTTTACGTGCTAGTTATAGAGTGTGTGTGAAAAGCAATGTCTGTTCAGTAATTGAGTGTATTAAGGAGACATATTTACCTAACTAGTTCTAGGGTGCGTGTGAGGAGCGATGTCTGTTCAGTAATTCAGCGTATTAAGGAGAAATATTTACCTTACTAGTTCTAGTGTGTGTGTGTGTGTGTGTGTGTATATAGGACCGATGTTTGTTCAGTAATTAAGCGTATTAAGGAGACATATTTTCCTAACTAGTTCTAGGGTGTGTGTGTATAGGACCGATGTCTGTTCAGTAATTAAGCATATTAAGGAGACATATTTACCTAATTAATTCTAGAGTGTGTGTATAGGACCGATGTTTGTACAGTAATTAAGCGTATTAAGGAAACGTATTTACCTAACTAGTTCTAGGGTGTGTGTATAGGAGCGATCGATGTCTGTTCAGTAAATGTGAATGTTTTAGCATGAAACTAGCTTTTTTCTTTTGTTTACAAGTTATAGTTATTACTCTCCATAAAGTTGTCTATGAACCAGTTTTAAGAAAGTCGTGCTAATAACATTGGTAATGATAAGCAAATACAAGAAGAATAAATTAACACATAAAAGATTTATCAACTACGTAGCTGATGTGAAAAATACTGAAAATCGTTTTCTTACCTTTGAAATTCTGTACTTTAAAATGTTTAAATTGTTTCTTTTTTGTAGAAAAGATATTCTGAACTTGGGTAGTTTTGGAGTTTATTAAGAAGAGTTTTTTTTAGCTACAGGAGAAAAAGAAATGTATATTATGAACTTGGGTAGTTTTGGGGTTTATTAAAAAGTTTTTTTAGCTATAGGAGAAAAAGAAATGTGTTTTATGAACTTGGGTAGTTTTTGGGTTTATCAAAAAGTTTTTTTAGCTACAGGAGAAAAAGAAATGTTTATTATGAACTTGGGTAGTTTTGGAGTTTATTAAGAAGAGTTTTTTTAGCTACAGGAGAAAAAGAAATGTTTATTATGAACTTGGGTAGTTTTGGAGTTTATTAAGAAGTTTTTTTAGCTACAGGAGAAAAAGAAATGTGTATTATGAACTTGGGTAGTTTTGGGGTGGAAGTATATTTAGAAAATCTGTGTTCTGTGCACTAGGTTATTATTGAAAATTCTAGGGTTTATTTGTTTGTACGTTTTAGTGCAGTGGGTTATCTGCGCTCTGTTCACCATTAGGAATCAAATCCTGTATTCTAGCGTTGTAAGTCCATAAACTTACATGTGCTAAGAAGGCGAGACATAGGTGCTTTATTGTCTCAAACAGTTACTTACAAGTTTTAATGCATTACTCCGTGCAATTTATATGTCATTACTGGATATATTATAGTTAAGTAAATCTAAAAAAAGTTAATTACGACTTAGAGTTAATAATCGTATATTTTTGTCAAAGTTTAAGATTTACACATATTCAATTTTCCAGAGTGTAATGTGTGTAATATAAGTTTTGAGCTCTCAGTGTAAGAAACTGTCGATAAACATGTCAAAAACATTTAGTAGTTAATTGTGTAATAGATAAAGAAGTTCACGTACTTTTTTATGTAACACACACACATATATAATAGGTTATTTTGTTTTTGTATTTTCTAAAAATAATATGATCGAAGTGAGATTATAACGCCATAATAAAAAATATTGGGCCTAGTGATTAGGGCACACGACTCGCAATCTGTGGGTCGGGGTTCGAATCACCGTCATCAAACATACTCTCCCTTTCAGCCATTATGTGGCAATAAGTCCCACTACTCGTTAGTAAAAGTTGGTGGCGGATGGTATTGACTAGCAACCTTCCTTCTCGCTTATCACTGCTAAATTAAGGACGGATAGTCTTCAAGTGGCTTTGCGCAAAATGTAAAAGAAACGGACGAAAGTAGCAAAACTATTAACGTTGATTTTAAAAAAATATCCATATAATTTGCATTGAGTGCATGCCACTTATACTAAGTGCGAATTTCTGTGTGTTCCTATAGTAACTGTAATTGTTCAGGACGCTCTGGAAATGCTAGTCTTTTAACTTTAGCCAGAATTAAAAATAAGATTCTTATTTGAGATATTTAAACCTTATGATAATATATTTTGATTATGATGCGGTGCCGCCATCTCCTGGAAGGTACTGCTACTTTCAGAACTGTTGGTTATGATGTCACATGGAGCAAAACAGTGACAAAATATTTGTTATGCAATAGACATGTAATAGTGACTTGTAGGGACTTCTGTTATACATCGCTTATAATGATATATTACATGCCTAAATGTTAGTATAGATGCCAAACTCACGAATTTAACGAATACTGTGCAAAGACAACTAATGAAAAAACATGTTCTACAGAGGATTCCCAAAACATTTTACAGTGAAACGTTTTGATATTGCTCAGGCAGGTCAGGTTCTGGAATTTAATGTCATATATAATAGTCTAGCGACACTTAAGTTAATATCTTGTATATATAATAGTCTAACAACACATTTATGCACTTCAAACACGAAGTATCAGGTACAGTAGATTCGCGATTTCATAAAGCCTAGTAGTTATGATAGTTATTTGCATTTGATGTACACGTGACATGACATGAGTTTGCCTCAAACGGAATCTCTTGGTGTATGAGCACTTAATATTCTTATGCCTGCTAATCCATTGTTCGAATTAGCTAACTGAGTGCATGATTTCTTACTGAAGGTTTCAGGTTTTGTAGCTTTTACTGTAGCCAACCAGAACGATTCAGGTGGGTGCGTGAGGAGCGCGAGCCGCATGCAGGTGCACTTTGTGCTCTTACTGGACAATATACAACAGCGTGTGCACTATAGACCTTTTAGATAGATGTGCGACGCGGCACGCTTTTAGGACTCGGCTCTGCTTTTCTCTAATGGAATTGTCTCTTTAAGTGGTCTTAATGTGGCAAGGGCTAAAGATGGGGGTGGGGGATAGACGGGATGAAAACAGCTTGTAGTAACTGTCTCCAACCCGATGGATGTTATCTTATTAGCTCAAAAGGCTTGCATTAGTGGCTGGCTTTCTGCAAAAAGGACGAATGCCGATAGCTTTTAGCTGACCAAGCCTCGATGTCATCAGCCTTTGTCGTTATTCTCATCAGGCCAAAGCTGACCTATTGGTAATGCATTGGTGGAGGACAGATGGTTTCAGAGTCCATATATGAAGGCTAAGTGCAAGATGCCACGTGAACCGTAATTCTTCATGTTACTTCATCTTTAATAGACCGCAGACTACTTAAGAGCAAAAGGAGCAGAAGCTATTTACTCCGAGTTCACATAGCAGCATTGCCTAGTAAAGCAATCAACGATTGTTTGACTGAATAATGTTCATGGCTTTCTGTTCTACTAAAACATGAAACAGTGCTTTTGTAGATCACACAAATGCATTCCAGTGAGCCTAACTGATATAACCATCGTAAAATGTCATAAAAGTACGGCTAATGGACTATTTATGTTTGACCTCATGGATGAATTCATTTTATACACTTTGAAGGCACTTTATTCTTAGCTTCAGTGCAGTGGCCTGTTATTACTTACAGCAATATTAGTAGGAGGAGAGGAATATAACTTGTGTATGTGTGCATCTTATGGAATTGTCTTTAAAATGCTTTTGTATGTTGACATGAACTATTGAAAAAACAAATTAGTCGCGTATTTTTAAATCTGTTAAATTCTGGGGTCCTGTGTGTGTGTGGTGGGGGGGGGGGGAGTTATAGCACATCGGGCTATCTGCTGTGTCCACCTAGGGGAATCGAAACCCTGATTTTGGCGTTGTAAATCTGTAGACTTAACGCTGTCCCACCACCGGGTGACTTTTGGAGTCATTATCTTCCAGTGTAAAGTCAGGCCTTGATATGCATGCATGTCACCTCTCCGTGGATGAGAGAGGTCAATAATTTGATTTTAGTCATCGGATGTGTTGTAGTTGATGTGATACTAGGCCGTGGTCATAAGAAAAGTTCATCTTGAATGCATTATCTAATTAAATATTAAACATTTGGGTTGCTTCAGATTGATTTGAAAACTCAGCCAAAACATCAATTGTTATTTTTCGCATTTATTGGGTTGGTGGGGTAAAATGTGATTCAGATGTACCGAAAAACACAATTGGAACATTTAATTTTAAACTTTTAATAGTTATCCTGACGTCTGAAGACAAATTCTACACAATATTACGAGTAATACTTGGATACGATTGTTTTTTAATTTACAAATATTTGTACTTGTGAGTTACATCGGTTGAAAGTTTGGATATTCTGAGAAGAACCAATACAGAAATGTGAGGATATATCGACTTATTTTACGTAAAACTGCACCGTTTTATCCTGGAATTCAGGAGAACAAACATATTGAAAGACCATATTAAAAAAGTTAGTGAGTAACAGTTGCAACCTACAACTGGCAGAAAGCCAAACTTAGCACGTTGAATTAGGTCTGGTCAAATTTCAAACAGACAAAAAATAATAAACTCTTGGTTGACACCGACGTTCAGACTGTGATAACCAGCGTTTTTTGGAAATGCTTCGTATTAAAAATATGTTATCCATGATTTAAATGTTTATAACTGCTTTTCTTTTGTGTCGGATATGTCTAGACA